CCATTTCAAACCCAAATTTATCAAATCTTCACAGCGTCTGTGTGTACATCGTGTCTCTTGGGAGTAACATCTGTCTGTAATTAATGAGTACATTTATAGTGCGAGGAATCTCACTTTCTTACACCAATTTTAAGGGTTGGGCTTTTATTTGTGGACTGTGGCCATTAAAAACTTAAAATAACATCAAATGGATTTGTTTCATCGGGTGTATCCTCTATTACACCTACAATTGTAAAGTCAAGTTGATACAATTACAGTTTATTACTCAAGTAATATGCAAGTACCTAGTTAACAGCCTTAGTACATCAATCCTTACTTTTATCACGATGCAAAGTATATTTTGAGCATTTTAGTGGAGTCAACGGAAACATGTGAAAGAAAAATGAATGTTTATTTTTAAATTGTCTTTGAAATAAGCGTATTGTCTGAACTTTTGTGATGCTGCTGCAGTAGAAGGGGACTATTTCTGATGTGTATTTCTTTCTTTTTCAGTGTGTAAGCGTTAGTGCCAGCTTACATTTATCTCCACGCTCGAATCAAACAGTATTTTACGATTCAAATAAATAAATAAGCACCCTCACTCGAGTCACTTAACAACCACATAATTCAGTGTTCGTGTCCAGTGTGTGTTTGGAGAACATGTTTTCAGCTGTGACTGGCAAGGCGGGTCCTCGGGGAACATAAATGCTGCAACTGACTGGAATTTGCAACCACCTCCCCCGAGACACAATGCGCACACTCACTTATGTGTGAAAACACACACACACGGTGTGAAAAGTTGAATCTGTTGAATTGTGCAGCTTCAGAAGTGCACCAACCTCACTTTACCAGCTACTTTCTGGGACAAATCCGATCCGTTTCAGGCTCCACCCTCTCTGCAACTGCAACAACTGAGTCGCAGCTGAAAATCAAATGCAGCGAGACCGACGGAGGCTGATAAGGTGATAATGACAAACCAGGATGTGATTTTTCTTTCGCAGGCTTATTTTAAACTTCACGTGTGCTTGTGCTTATAACAGAGTGCGAGATGGAGCGATGTTGGCGGAGGGGGGAGAAGGGTGAAGCGTTGCAGATATAAAGAAGTGAAAGACAAGAGAACAAGTCGTTTGCATGATCAATGTGTGAGGAGTGGAGGAGGAGATCTTAGTTGTTAGTCAGCAGATCGAGGGAAAGACTGATGTTACTGCACAAGATTAACCCTTAGTGTCTTAACACTGTCACGCATTCATTACGATTTGCATTCATTAAAAAGTGCGCACATTCATTAGTCGATATTGTTCTGAAATCCTATGAGAGCCCACGGATCCGCCCAAATCCCCCTCATCAAATCGACGCAAACACAAAGTCGCCATCCAAACAGGATCAATCAAAGCAGAAAAGCAGCATTGTTAGTTGATTAAGCAAACATAATCAAAAAAATGACATCTTAACAGGATTACTGCTAATCTTCATCACATATCTTCCTCCGATGTGCGTGTAATTGGGACATTAACGAGTGCCTTTAAAAAACCACAAAATGAAATCATTTTGATATGCACAAACATCTCTAGAGAAATCAAAGTTGTATACAACATTAAGGACAGAAAGCATGCAAAGATGGTATCATTACACAAGAGATATAAACAGAATCCTATGTGTAAGGACAAAAATAAATTAACCTAGAATGAGTTTAACTCGATGGCCCATGAAAGGTGAAGCAGAGTTTTGCTTCAAGCTAATTGCTAACTTCACTGTATACCAAGACTGCAATCAGCCCAGTTGTTTGAATCAGGTCCGTCTGGTGTAAAACTTCGGGGTAGCCACGACAATCCATCCAATAGTTAATGAGATATTTCACCTCGACGTGGACTAGATCGATCCACCGCTCTTCTGCATGAGGGACAGCCTCACCATTCTGAGCCACACCAGCCCCAGATTACAACTCAAAGGAACAACAAAATATCCAATTCCACACATTCAATTGAGCATAAAGCGCTTCCAACATGTCCGACAGAGATCAACTAAAACCAGTTCCAACTCTTCTCGCTGGATGATTACGTCTGACATTTGTAGGCAACATTGGCATCGGCGATGAGAGACGGGGTTGAACCCAATTCAGTGTTGAGGACACTCCTCTCTTGTTCTGGGGCTACGGGGTGTTTGCGTATAAATAGAGATGGCTGCCAATGAGTGTGTGTGTGTGTGTGTGTTCTAACTGATGGCCGCTGGTCATGCGATCCATGCCGCTGTCTAATTATTCACATTTGATGGATGGCTCTGATTAAATCATATGAAGGCTGATGCAGTCACCACCTCTCTCTGCCTCTCTTCCCTCTTTACCGCTTTTTCTTTTATCTGTCACACACACAAGTTGGAATTCCTATTCTTCACTCCCCTCTTTTCTTTCAATGTCGTATGCACGGGACTTGAGTTGTTCAGAACAGATGAGTCCAGCTTTCAACATTGATAAAAGATACTCATAAATCATCTGGAGTCAGGCAGGGGAGGCGGAGGTGGAGGGGAGGGAGGTGAGTGACACCAAAGGAAGAGAATTGAGGAAAAATAGGCAGATAGAGATGCAGGGGAACATGCAATTAGAAAGAATCGAATGATAATAATGAGGTAAAATGTACGAATGACCGAATTACTGATCAAAAAAATAAAAATTCAAAAAATTGAAAAGTTTTGGGATCATTTTATTTATAAATTGTATTTATTTTACTGAAGATTACATTTTCCCGCCGGCTATGTTAAAGTTGTTGCCTTTGCTCTGAACTCAACAACAACACGATACTTACACCCTATTTAAAAGACCAACGGGAGCCCCGAGGTTGGTGAACACATTTATGACATGCCTTTTTGTCATGTCCCTTCTATTGTGTCCATTTTCCTGTCAGCTTATACAAAGCAACAGCTAGAGGGTTTGACAGTGACAGATGGCGCTTTGTTTGTGCAGCTCAGAGAAGAAGAAGCAGGCGAGTAAATAACCAGTTTGACCCGGAGAATTGAGCATTGATGACAAAAGTAAAGTTCATTTTCTCCTGGTGACGGCGACATAAAACTATGAACGTCAGTCAAATAACATCACTCCTGTATCAGGCCTCGGCTGTCGAGTAGGTGCTTGCTGTGCCTGACTGATGCAGAGAGAGCGAATCTTTTTAATTATTTTATCTGCCGCTGAAACGGTTCACTGCAGATAATCGAGAAACACAATTGATAACCCGTTCTCCTGCAGGCTCGCTTCAGTCAGCCTCTTCACAGCTACACACACACACACACACACACACACACACACACACACACACACACACAGCAACACAAATCCTGATGTGCTCCTAATGAGATGCTCTCCTTCGGTGCGACAAAAAGCTGCTTTTTCGAAGATTTACTCTCTCAGAAACCATATGCCGAACGCCAGGAGACTCGGCACGGAGCCGCGCGCACATGTAGACAAGTAAGTACGCATGCAATAATGAATGCACACCCACATACAGCCACCCATTTAGAAGTGGAACTTGAGTGATGGGTAAAAAACTGGAAGTAGGCGACGGATCTCTGCAAAATAAACCCCACATGACGTGAATTTAAAGTCTTTTGAGGAGTTCAACGTACTGTAAAATGCTGTTAAATTAAGCATTCTGGAAACAAGCTGAAGGAATCTTAGTTAAAAGGGAATGACATTTAACAGCAGCAATAAAGAAATCAGACAATAGGCTATACAACACAACATCTCGCAGAGGCGTTTTGCAGCATCCGTGTATCTTTACTCGTGTATTCGATGATCGTACGTTCCATCCAAGTGCACCAGCGAGCCAGAACGCACGGTGCCACTGGCCTGAAGCTGCTAAACGGAACCCAGAGCAGACCATTCACTGATTATTTACACCTGCACTTTACCTGGTGAGGTGAATTGCCCTGCAGGCAGCAATGACGGACGCAATGATGGTAGATCGCTGTAACAAAACAGCAAAGGGGGTCTTACCAGCACATTCTGATAACTGTGATTTAACTATTGTAGAACGTCACCACAACTTTCTGCCTGACGGCCATATCAGAGGGAGTGTGCACACACACACAAGCACACACACACACACACACACACACCGGACACTTTGTCTCCACGTCTCTCTAGCTATGAATGAGTGAAGCTTCTGAACTCCATATTGTTGAATATTGACTCTGGTAAAAAACAAAAAAACAACAACGAGTGATGCATGACTGCACCAGTGGATAAATAGGTGAATGGGGAGGAATAAACACACAAAATGAAAGACGGGTGGTAGGTAGATGGATGGGAGACAGTCAAGTGGTTAGAGAGGAAGAGCATATAGTTCCAGAGTGCTTCCAGACACCAGATGGACTGAAGAGCGCTGGCGTCAGAGCGGTAACAGAAGACTCAGGGGAAAGGAGGGAGAGAAGAGGGAGAAGAGGGAGGGAAGGAGGAGACTGAGGCTAAGAATAGTAGTACAACCTCGGGCCAGCAGAATCGGTCGGCCCTGCTTGCTATTTTTCACTTTACTACTGTGCCAGCCTTACTCGTCTGATATCCTTGTCTACGATCATTCTGTATCACTCCCTCCCTTGGTCATTATTCCAAAATAAAAGGCCAGCTTTGTCGCATCGATGTCAATAGTCCTACAAAACCATTGAAAAGCCAATGTCGCATGGTGGGCCCCAACTTAAACAGCTGCATGCCGTGTGCAGGCCATGAATGCACCTTTAAAAAGAAGAAACTTCTACAGGGAGAAACTCAATACCGCTTCCCACGTCACATCAAACACGATACTAGCGGCTGAGAAAGAGAGAACAAAGAGCGGTTCAGTCTTGATCCGCACTTCAGTGACGTGAGTTAATCCCTGAAAGGTTCCGCAGGGAACCCTTATGTACTGCTTCTCCGGGGGAATCGATTTCAAGGACACACATAGGCCAGAAGTGGTATTTGCGAGGTACAGGTGGCAAGTAGTTGCAAGAATTATACACATGTGTGTGTGTGTGTTGGCACAATCATAAACGCCACTAACCACAGACTCATCAGGAAATGGTGTTCCATGTCGTCAGGAAGAAACCGCCGGCTGAATAACTTGCTCTCTGCAGAAAGATAGAGAAAAAAAAACACATCAGAGAAGCTCAAACTGCAAAAAGGCTCACATGAGCTGATTCGAGCAAGCATCATTGTACCTGGAAGGAAGCGTTAAGCTCGGTCTCATTTCTCTACAGCGCGCCCGTCTGTTATGGGAAAAGCACCCACCCCATGAGCTCCGACCTGTAAAACAGTCCCCGGCGTTGACTGAAAATGCAATGTGGTGGAAAATGTGCAGCTGGGCCCGTCGGTCCCAAACCAAGGAGCTTCACCGACTGAGGCAGCAGCTCCCGTGCTCGGAGCGCTGTAGGCCCTGGAGCCACAGATGACGGGACAACTGGAGCATATGAGGAGAGAGATAAACTAGCAATGCAAATAACGGTTTGGGAGTTGGGGACGGAAAGGAATAGAGGCAGAAGAGGGGGGGGGAGGGAAGAGGAGGGCATCACTAATAGGCTAACAGTTTAATTGAATGTGCGCTGCGTCCAATTACCTCTTAAAGTTAGCAGAATGTGTGAAATCACTTGTACTGTAAAAGCGAAATTAAAACACAAACTCTGGCGCCCCGAACAAAAAATATCACTGCGAGTGTGTCAACCGACGCCAGTATGTACAATAAACACCTAATTAGCCTTTAAAATACAAAACCATTGCTGGAAAAGGGTGCATATGGCAAATGATGCAGAAATACTTCAGTAGGGGTCCATCATAGCCCCCTTAACCTTTGTCAATGAACACGTGGAGTTGTAAATGCGTTTGTACAAATAAAAAAGTGCGTTTTTCCTCTATGTGTCTCAGTGATCTGAAGGCTAAATGCTACTGAGCTGAACGTGGTCGCAAAATGAGAATGCCATGGCGTTCCGCACACTTCATTGCCGGTGCATTAGCACGCTGATTACTTGCAGTTAGAATTAGCTCCCTGGACTGTTTTCTTTCTGTCATTTTGTGCCACATTATAGCTGACGCACACTCTCAGCGTGTTTGCGGCTCCATGGCAACAGCAACTCCTACTTCATTGGCACGGTTTGCATCCATTCGAAAGAATCGCCAAAAAGATTCCTCGATCTATTCTGCAAATGACAATTTCACGAATGCCTCGCGCAAGCCTGATCTTAACTTTGCTGCACATCACGTAGTAATTACTTGTTGCAAGGCAGAACCGAGCCGGGTCACTGCGGTCGCATTCAGGGACCAGAGTGGTCCACCATGACAAAAGGCTTTATCATGCATGCGCGACATGAGCACTGTACCCTCGTCATTCCAACACGCAGGGTCTGCCGCTGTAGTTCGTCAAGCGCTTTGACTGTTCTATTGATTCGCAAAAAAAAGTGTGCGTGCGTGCGTGTGCGTGCTCGCGGGTGTGATGTGTCGCTGGCTAGCTAGCTGCAGAGATAATTAGAACACAACTCTTTTCGCTGTCCCTGCAGGCCTCAGATCCAGCTGCTTTCATCTAATATAGGTCAGCTGTGACAAAGCCGTGTCGTATGGACACTGATCAGCTCTGCTAGTCTCGTCTACAAATGTCCTCATGCAGTGGAATACGTGGGGAGGATGCTTTTTGTTACACACATGTTGATGGTATACACATGGGGTAAACATACTGAAGAGCAGTGGTTCCCAAAGTCTGGGGCGCGCTGTGGAACTACAAGGGGGGAATTCATCACCAACCAACACACGGACAGCAACAGGTAAAACAATTATGACAAATTGATTGCAGACAAGTTGAAAGAAAGAAATCAAGCGGAACCGCCGAGAGAAAGATCAGGGATGTAGACGGTTGCGGCATGCCAGGAGGGACAGTTTGTGGCTGGTGACTAAAGCTTAAAATCAGATGCAAGTCTGTTACAGCAGAAAAAAAAGAGACGCGACCACCACGACAACGGCACAGCAAAAGGTAAAAGTAGGGAAATAGGACGAGGAATACTGGATCTGTCCGTGGTCTTTGTTCCGACAGAAAGGGTTTGGGAACCACTGGTGTCGAGGGACACACACTGAGACACTGAGACACGGTCTGTGACGCCAGACAAAGTCAACCGCTCACACTTTCATCTGCGCACCAGTTTATTGCTACTGCCCACACACCAGCAGATAGAGCACATCAGTAACCCTTCATAGCAATAGAAAGATATTGCCAGACAAAGTCAATGCAAATTCATTCACTTCCAAAGTTCCAAAAGCAATACAATACCGGAAATGGTCCTGTTTCTGTCACAGTAAGAATGTGTGTACAGTCTGTGGCAAAAGAGTTGCATTAGATTATGGTATTTCTACTGGAATCTAATGGATACGAGTAACACAAGGAACACTAAATTAAAATTGAATGCATCAAGAGATTCGGTGAATTGAATTCTGCTCGTGTCACCTGGTGACTTTGTAGTCACACAATTCTGAGCACGAAGAAGCTCCTAATTTATCTGTTTAGCAGCAAATGCCAAGAAATCATGTTATTTTGCTTCGCTCTTCTGTAAATGTTTATCCTCTTCAAATAAACTGCCGAGATGGCTCGATCTTATTTAGCAGCAAAGCCTCACTATCCCCATTGACTTTTTCTAAAACGCCTTCGCTAAACTCACACACGCTGTGTCACACTTGTTTGCTGACCGCCCGTCTTCAACGACACGTATCATGTAGGATCACCAGCGGTCACCTGGCGGAACGTCAGCGGGCCGAGACTGCAGAGATCTACGGGACGTAAACCCGAGAGCGGCTCGGACGAAGAGGAGGAACGAAGGAAGAAAAGGAATAAAGCAATTATTCCCTCCTTTTTTGCTCCTCCTTTTAAAAGCCACCCTCAGGTGTTTTGTTCAACCTATTGTATTGATAACCAACCCAACAGAAGAGCATCATTATCTTTTATCTGCTTTACTGCAGGCGCCCGGCTAATGGGGCAATAATTGGTGCAAATTGCAAAGTGAACAAGCAGTGGCGTAGCCCACGGGACGGGCCTGATCCGGGGGCCTCAGCGATGTCGCATTGCGGGGACATCGGTGTGTTCTCCAGACTCTGACCGCCGCCTTGTTCTTTCTCATTCCGCCGACCCCCTACGCCCCTATGTCTGTGGAGCCAGTGGGATCCCGCGGGGGGGGGTTAACTACTGTGGCTGTTTATGCAAATACAAATCAATACTCGATAGTTCCTCCTTGCTATTTGCCCCCCCCCCCCCCCCTCCTCCCCACCTCATTTCCGCTCTATCTCTAAAGAGAAACTGCAGGGGGGATGTAAGGGGGGGGCATTAATTAGGGCCAGACACGCACCAAGGATTGCCCGCAGGGGCTGAGCAGTAAAGCCAGGTCATAAGAGGCCAGGAGAGGACCGGTTTTTACCACTGCAGCCGGGAAACGATGAGACACGGCAGCCCGGAGTCACGGCCACAGGCTCCTACTACACCTGTGTTTGTTATTTCGATTTTCGAAGTTGAGTTGAGCGCCGCCGCCCCCCCCTTCCCAGCCTCGGTTGTGCTCTCCAGGACATGAGCAGAGATGGAAATGTTTGGATCGTACTCCACGCGGGCCATCCGGAGAGCTTACAGACGTCATATACACATATGTATTCAAATTGTTACTAAACCATTTGTATCTTTCTTCTTGCATTCTGTGCCAATGTAAAAAACAGAACTGTACTAATCCAAAGCTTGTGTCCGACCCTTAACCACACAAATGCCTTATAAACAATATGATTTCTCCAGTATGTGTGTGTGTGTACGTAGAGATAGCAACGAGTTAAAGTGATAGCTTTTTGGCAATTTTTCACCTGACATTTTTCATTTAGACGCATCGCATTACTGCGTTCTCACCGTTAGGGGAACTACTAAACCCAACGAGTCGTAAAGCTTAGTTCCGTTTGCAAACCGCTGCCTTACATTCAGCACATGGATTCTTATTAACTTCTCAGGGATTTCCACAGGATTACATACAGACAACCTAAGCAACTTTCTCAACACTGACCGTTGCCAATTAGATCCTATTAACAGAACACGGACTTCGGCTCTGCAAACACTGCAGGGGATTTCCATTGGCTTAACATAGAAGTTGCCTGTTTTCCTTCCATATGTTCTGCTGGTTATGCTCACACCGTGACGTCGGGCGATGGGACGGGGACCTACAGTGAAGCGGAATGCCCATCATGCACCACAAGGATCATGCTGAGAGCATCTCGAGGAGATCATATCAAATGCAAATGCTCGACGAGCCCGCCTTCTGAAAGGAGCTCCGTTAAGCTGCACACGAGATGACAGAGCTTTAGGGAGCGAATGAGTCATGCTTTCTCAGGAAAAAGAAGAGCGAGGACAGGAGGACGTTACTGGAAAATTTCTTTTAGGCTTAAAAAATTACAATATAACTAACAAAATGTTAGTTGTATGAAATACTCTAATCCAATACCGACCTCGTAGCTTAATACACATACAGCACAGGACACGGCATGGATCCATCCAATCGCAGGGATCTACCCAATTCTTTCACCACAAAAGTATTAAAGATGAAAAAAAAAAAGGTATGGAGGGGGTGCATTAAATCGTAAGCGGCTTACACGACCCCTGAGGGTTAAGGATCAAGACCAAAGCCAAATAGAGAGTCCAGGTTAGGGATAAACAGGTTGATCCACAGTTCAGCCTCAGGTCTCCCGCACTGATGAAGATGTCCTGTGCTTGATTAGTAAATTTGGACTAAATTTAGTTATTCACAGTAAGTCTTTACATTTTTCAATTAACTGTGAATATCCACTTTTTATGACTGAATATCACTATGACTATTCTGTGCAGTCATAATACTTATGATTAAAACATTCAGGGATAGATAGCAGCAATTGTGGGAAAAGATTGGCAATAAAAAAGGGATTTGCCAGAGAGCCGTCCTTTCACCTTGACTGAACAAGAGATAATAACGGTGGCAGAAAAAAGTTGTAACCCCAAAAACGGTTTAAGTTTTACTCGTGTACTTTTGTGATGCTTCAAAAAGTCTTTGGAATAAAAATGTATGACATCAGTATCAGAGAGGAAACTCGCGAGTGT